ACCTTCACACACTGCACTCCTGACACTAACAGCACCCTCACACACACACACACACTGCACCCTCAAACACAGCACACACACACTGCTCCCCTCACACACAGCACCCTTACCCACACAGCACCCCCCCACACACACACTGCACTGCTCTTGCACATACACTACACCTCTAACACACACATCACCCTAACACAAACAGCACCCTCATACACGCACACTGCACCTCTGACACGGCACCCTCACACACACACTGCACCCCTGACACTCACAGCACCCCCACTCACACCAACCTCACTCACACACACTGCACCCCTGAAACTCACAGCACCCTCACTCACACACATTGCACCCCTGATATTTACTTGATACGCTTTCCTGAAGGTTTGAGTTTTCAGTTGATTTTTTGAAGGAAAGGAGACTTGGTAGGTTGGAACAGTATTATGTAGAGACTTGTAAGCAAGCACCAGAATCCTAAATTGAGCCCTATATCTTACTGGAGGCCAATGTAGGGTCTGACAGAGGGGGGATGCATGACAGGAAGATGAGCCTTGCCGCCACATTCATTATAGATTGCAATGGTGCAAACTGGGAACATGTGAGACCACTGAGAAGGGAATTAAAGTAGTCAAAACAAGAGAGAACAATGGCATAGACCAGCACCTTAGCAGCGTCCGGCGTTAAATAGGAGTACATGCGCGCTATGTTTTTGAGATGGAAGCGACAGGATTTAGCAATTGACTGGACATGAGTGGTGAAAGAGACCTCTGAGTCAAAGAGAACACTTTGGCAGTGAGCCTGCGAGTAAGAGGTGATGGTAGCGCCGTTGACTCGGAGGGAGACGGGCACAGGAGTAGCAACACTTGAGGGAGGAAAGACCAGAAGCTTTGTTTTGGACAGGTTGAGTTTAAGGAAGTGAGCAGCCATCCAGTTGGAAATCGCAGAGAGGCAGTCCGAGACACAAGTCAAGATGGGCAGAGAGAGGTAAGAAGAGGACAGGTAGATTTGCATGTCATCCACATATAAATGATAATGAGAGCCAAAGGAGCTGATGAGTTTACCAAGGGAGGCAGTATACTGTAGATAGAGAACATTAAGGGACCAGGGACAGAACTTTGGGGAACGCCAACAGAGAGTGGTTGGGGACATTGAAACACTGGAAGAGCACTGGGAGCAGTGGTGTATCCTGGTTTTGTGCTGCCCTAGGCAGGACAAAACTCAGGCACCCCCCCGCGCTACCCCCACCCGCGCAACTGCCACCCAACCCTTCCCCCCTGCTCCACCTTCTAAATACACACACACACATTCACTGACAGATACGCATTCACTAGCTAACAGAAACACACACTCACTCACTAACAGACACACACACTCACTAACAGACACACACACTCACTAACAGACACACTCACTCACAGGCAAACACACACTCACTAACAGGCAAACACACATACACTAACAGGCAAACACAGACACACACAAACAGACACACACTAACAGACACACACTAACAGACACACACTAACAGACACACACACACACTAACAGACACACACACACACTAACATATACACACACACACTAACATATACACACACACACACACTAACATATACACACACACACTAACAGACACACACACACACACTAACATACATACACACACACACTAACATATACACACACACACTAACATATACACACACACTAACATATACACACACACTAACATATACACACACACACACACACATATACACACACACTAACATATACACACACACACACACACACACTAACATATACACACACACACACACACTAACATATACACACACACACTAACATATACACACACACACACACACACACTAACATATACACAAACACACACACACACTGACACACACTAACACACTCACTTGTGGTTTTTTTTTTAATTTAACCCCCCCAGCCTCCTTACCTTTGGGAATGCTGGGGGGGGTTCTTCCTCTCCCTGGGGTCCAGTGGCAGCAGGGCGGCCGGCCGGCGAGGGAGCTTTTCCCCTGAGCGCTCTGCTCAGCTCCCTCGCGCGCCGCCAGCAGAGTGAGGCTGGGAGCCGGAATATGACGTCATCAACCCGGCTCCCAGCCTCACTCTGCTGGCGGCGCGAGGGAGCTGAGCAGAGCGCTCAGGGGAAAAGCTCCCTCGCCGGCCGGCCGCCCAGCGCGCCAGCCCGGCGTGTCTGTTAGCCGCGAGGCTAACAAGGCATTTGCCCTGGGCATTTGGGGGCGGCTTTTTTGCCACCCCCTGAAAAATGCCGCCCAAGGCAAATGCCTTGTTTGCCTCGCGGCTAATACGCCCCCTGACTGGGAGAGGTAGGAGGAGCACAGGAGAGACCAATATCCCGTAGACCAAGATTATGGAGAATGAGAAAGAAGCTGTTGATGATCAACAGTGTCAAAGGCAGCAGAAAAGAATTTTGAGAATTAGATAGAGTAATGTCTGCTAGATTTAGCAGCTTATTATATTTTGGATACTTAACAAAGGTGCAGTTTCAACAGAAAGTGACCAAATTTCTAAAAATTATTGAAATAGAACTAGTCAATATTCCATGGAGAGGCTGAGACATGACACCAATTTTAGGCAAGAGAGAAATTAATTGGGTTTTCCATCTTAAAACCCTCTCTCCAAAAGGGCTAAATGTTGAATTTGACCTTTTTAATTTTTTATAAATATTTTTTTAATTTTATTTATTTATTTATTTATTTTTGGGATTTAGCTGTATTTTATATCTATTAATATTTATTATTTTTTATTTAATTTTATACATATACATATTTGCAAAAATATATTTTTCCTTTCCTTCTCTCTTCATATAGATATATTTTAATGTTTTTTGACATGTCTCCCGTTTTCCTCCTTTTATTTCCCCACTTAAGCTAAGACCTAAGGTCATACATACCAAATTAAAGATGACCTAACAAGGTAGCTACCTCCAAAATCAAGTTGTAACCTAACAGACAATTATAATTCGATTTGTACCTTTTTGAATTTTATTATCATTTCACTTGCGAAACAGCACTGCTATGGGTTTTTTAAAGTATAATCGTAATTCATACTGTATCACTATGGTATTATGTGAAAAACACTTATGTCCTGTTTTTAATTTCCTATGTAAAAATACCCTGCAGTTATTTTATTTTATTTATTTTTTTTATCTTCAATGTCACTGTGCACTTTATATTTTGGTCTAAACTAATTGGTCTACAATGAGACCATCTTTATGCAAAATTCATTCCTTTGCTGAACATTTGATTTTTAAAGTTTTGTTTTTTACTGTTATAATTATTTTGCTAGATGTTTTTTCACATAAGACCATTTATCAGCAATTGTCTTATTTATACTTAAGTGTCCCCACTACTATTTTATTATTGCTTGTATTTCTGTACATCAATTCTTTGTTATTAATTTTGTTCAAAATATCCTCATGGAGTGGTCAGACTCATTTTTTATGTTTATATCTCTTATCATTATATATTTTTATGTTTTTTCTTTTTTTAATTATTTAGTTTTAAAATTATTGTGACCAATATAATATGTCCAGGTAAATTTGTGTATTTGCCTCTGTTGTGGTGGTGTTCTATCAAATTTCCCTACCCCGTTAGAAAACCCTACCCTCGTCACTTCCGGTGACGAAGCCGCACCGGAAGTGACGTTGGGACGGGGGTGTGCGCAGCCGCGCAGGCGCACACCACCTAGGTAGGGACTTTGAACAGCGAGGAGTCGCATAAAGGCGCAGTGCGCACGCGCGCCAAACTACTCCCGTCGGAGGTACAGCGCGCGTGCGCACTTGGGAACAGGGAGAGCTTCACAGACACCGCGCATGCGCACTATAGGGGTAGGGAAATCTGATGGCGATTAAGCCTTGTGAAATCTCCCTACCCCTATACTGCGCATGCGCGGACTGGACTCTGATCGTCTGAGTAAAGCTTCTCCCTGCTCCCAACACACTCAGCCATCCAAGGGGCGGGGGTACTATATTAGGGGGGGTTTCAGTGCATTATATTGGATAGTGGGGGTTTTTCTACATTATTGTATGGGGGGTCTGCGCTGTATGGGGGGTCTGCGCTGTATGG